ATTATCTCCTTATCGCCTCTCATTCGTAAGCTGCTTTGAATAAAAGAGTCTGCTAAATGATTAAAAGTAAATGTCAGTGCGATAGGAGACTATTATGCACAGTTTAAGTATTAATGAGGATCCACCGGAACAATTAACAGTAGGGTGTAATATTTGTCATGGCATTTGCCATATGTAGTCCATAAAAAATAAGCCAAATCAAACAAACTCTTATACGATAACGGTTAATTACCTTCGCACATTCCTTCAGTCCTAAATGACATTGAGCCACTTCTCGGTAGACAATTACGCAATATAATTGTAGCAGAAATGCATTTTTAATACTCGGTACACCTAATTAGATGTTCACTGTACAGGCATGCAAAGACAAATGAATGACTGCTAGTCCATCTTGAAATTTAAGTGCCCGCTTCAAATGCTCGCGTATTCCCTTTGTAGCCCACTCTACTCTTAAGGTCACTTTGTAGAACAGCACTATCAAGGGAATATTCCGCACGGAGCATGCGAACGGCCTGCCATTTAGCCCCAGTCTCCTGGGATTAGCCACCGTCTGCAGATCCCATTGCAGTTCATGTGCAGGAGACTATTGTACTGTAAACGAATTGGCCTGCTATGAATAAGAAAGGTTATTCAGAGATTCGCGGCTGGGCTTGCAGTTAGGTTTCCGCTGAATACATATTCATTGGGTTTGTTTACAATACCTGAACGTGGTGAATTATGAAGCGGTTGGTTTCGAAGGGGGAGAATTTGGCTGCTGTTAGAGAAGACGAGGAAGCAGGAGATGAAAGAACCAGAGACCTAAAAACGGGAGGCTTTGTCACCTCTGTTACCTTGACAACCTGCTTCTGACTCTGATATATAGACCATTCATAGAGAGATTATGTCTGAACTGTGTCTGCGCTTATGTCTGTGAATCAAATTGTTTCTAATTAGGAGGTCTTATGTGTGTTCACAATATATATTAAAGACATTTAGGGAATTAGAGGGTCATTAGGTTAATGTCGACTACAATATTTATAACTAGCTCAAAGATGAGAAGGGTTTTCAATAGGTAAAGCAACAATAGGGTTATACAGCTTAAGTAATTTCTGTATTAGAATGTGTTCTGGTAATTTTTTCATACATCTATTTAAAGGCATTACACCATACACCCGGTGCATTAAGGCACAAGATGTGTTTGCCCTGACGTGTTGCTATTTTCAGACCAAAGCCACCGTAATTTTACCATTTCCTGCCACGTTGTTTAAATAGCTAATCCATTTGAGCCACTTTGTGGACTCATGGGTGTTCTTTTTTAGAAAAGACCTGTGTTAAGGTACATTGTTGGCGCATTGCTATTTTGAGGAACTAAAATAGACAGTGCAACAGACCGGCTGAAAGTCCAGCACAGAGCGCTTTAGTTGTGTGCCTCGCTTACACATTGCTTAAAACACACAGGATCTACAGCAATACACGAATATCCTTTCAAATAAATTACAAAAGAATTAAAGGATTAAAATATTGCAAAAATGATTATTTTCTACATAAATATAAAAACCACTGCCTCCATGCCTTCTTCATCTCGGGGGGCTTTTTTAATTTATTCGTGACAGTTATTTGTTATTATTATTAGCAGTATTGTTTATTATATGCATATTTTTATTTGTTTTAATAAAAACAAGCTTAAATTTGTCCACTTGTCAAGTATTGGGGCATAAGAATAGGACGTGTGTTTGGATATAACTCTATATTGACCACACTTCGTTATTATTGCTCATTTATTTGTTTGCTGGAAATTAGAAATGAATTTTGAAATATTTTAGAAACAAATCTTTGCACTTGACAAACGAAATTAATTATGTAGGTAATGGATGTCTGTGTGTACAACACCGTTTCCTTATCCATAAAAGAGAGAAAGGGAAAGTAAAGGCCGAATGGAGGCTCGTTCTTTATCCTCGTGCTGCAGATGGTCTGTTTAACTATTTTCTCGCTATTGAAGCATTCAGTTTTTCCACTTACAAAGTCCGGCAAATGCACTATGGCATGACGCAACTCTTAAAAGGAACAGAAGATGAGACTCTGATTGGTTTATTCTCAAAACACACCCAGAACTTATTTAGAAAATAAGCATAACCCGGTTGGACCATGCGCTGCAGCGCAGATCTTATTTTTCTGTCTTTAAAATATCAAACGTGGATTCGGACACGCCTTTAATGCTTTTGCACCCTGCGCTTTAGACTTTGTGCCTAGATCATTAGAGCCCATAGTTAGAGGACAAATCATTTAATATCAAATTAAGTGACTTAAGAATACTAATGAAAAAAAAAGTGTTACACTTATCTTAATTACTGTTCAGAGGTATGGTCGATTACATCAAGTAAAGAATTAAATTATAGATAAATAGAGATAAATAAAGATAAATTACAGTTAGTCCAGAATAGAGCGACACAACAAATTTTACACTGCAATAGAAGGATTATTATTATGTAAATGCATAAAGCTTTAGGTTGGTTATTGGTGAAAGATAGGGTAATTGTTTCTCTGTTGTGTTTCATAAGAAATATTTCTTTGTCAAGAGCTCCAAATGTATTGTACTGTCAACATTTGTTGAGTAATGCTAGTCATAACTTTATCATCAGGAAATTTTTTGCTTCCTGTTTCAAAACTAATGCAAGGCAACATACTGTAATGTATAGAGTATACCTTGGTAGTGGCTAATGGGGATATTGATAAATAAATAAATAAATAAATAAATAAATACTTACCTTGACCCTATCATTCAAAGTACTAATCAAAGCATTTTTTTTAATCTTTTAAAGTATAATAAAAAAAACTATGATCACATTTGTATATTTTGCATGAAAATGATTTTAAATATTAAATGGCACCTATGATGAAAATCATCTTTTGTAAGTTATTTGGACAGAACTGTGTGCAAGTATAGAGTGTCATATTGGGGTGATATAAACACAATAAGTCTCTTTTTTTAATTTCCTGATTATAAAAGTAGGATCCAAATCCCTCTCATTTTGAGGCCCACCGCAATGTGACGTAGGAGTGCGGTTTCCCTGCACACTGAATTGATTGACAGCTGTGTATTAACATGTCTCCGTAGTAACTCGTATAATCTAATTAACAAGACAGGATGTGCGCAAAGCAACTGGGATTAAAAGATCTGTTCAGCTCTCTGTGATCATCAGTCATCATCAAATGTGATCAAGAATGAGTTTTACAAGTTTAAACATTTTTAAAACAATGCATGTTTTGTAATGAATTACAGTGATTTCAACGTCTTTACTTCATCAGCACAGCCACAAGTCAGTACAATTATAAAAGAAGAATCCCTGTTTGTGGACATTTAATCACATTTATTTTGTACATGAAAATAACAGATGCCCAAATAGCAGTGTATATTAACATGTATCTTGTCACAATTGCTGTGCAAAAACAAAGTTAAAGTATGTGTGTCTGTGTGCGCGCATGAACTTTGAAACGACATTGTGTGTGACTTGTCGTTGCAGGAAGGCTTGAATTAATTCCACAACAAATACATAAAATAATCATTGGGAAAGTTCTTACTATAGTATTTCTCACAAACGTTTCATGAAATCTGCTTCCTTCATGTCTGTCACTGTGCTGTTTATCTGATGCAGTCGGAGATTGAGGCACACTCCAACAGGCATGTGGGAACGGTGGGCGGGGGAAACTAGCATTAAAGGCACAGGCCACAAAACAGCTACAATGTGTTCAGAGCACACAAATCCAATATTCTGAAAGGTATAAGAAATAATCTGAGGGGTATTTTGAGCTGAAACTTTACAGACACACTCTGGAAACACATCTTAAATCTTCGAAAAGGGGTAAAATAGGTGCCCTTTAAAGTAAAAGATGCACCTTTAACATGCTGTTTATATAATCATGTTTTAAATATATTTGATTCAGACTAAAAAAATGGAATGTCTCAATTTTTTATTGCATTATTGAATCAAAATGAGTTTTCTTTATTGCAGATGGCTTAATTAACATATTAATGTTTGTCTTAATAAATATGCAAATATGCAGTGTTGAGGACTGAATATATCATGAGCTAATTATAGAAACAAAATGAGTGAAAAATACTGTGGTGTGCGTGTTTATGTGTTCTGAATTTCCCTATGGGCACGAAGCCCCATTCAAGTATAGTAATACAAGTCATTTTTGACCTTGTTGGACATTTTATTTTTGTCTCAATAAAGGAATAAATCATACAGAAGGATGCTTTTTGAAAATCTAAAAAGGCAGAAGGGGTTGTGTTTAGGGGTCCGATGGTGATTACAGAATGTAATGTACAGTCTGTACAGTATAAAAACCATTACGTCTATAAAAAGTCCCCATTAAATATGAAAATGCATGTGTGTGTGCAGTTGTGTATATGGGCCAAAATCTAGTGGCTTTATTCATATTATTATTTCCCAGTAGCTCAGCTGGGAGCATTTGATGGCTTCATTTAAAAAAAAAAAAAAAAAAAAAAAATCAAATGCCAAAATCTTAATTAACTCTCTGATTCTATGAACACCAACGCAAGCTTAATTAAAGCTTTTAAAGAAATCTGGAACGTTATTATCATTTTTTTTTCTCTAATATTATTAAACTGCCCGTGGAATGCTCTTAGATGATTATCGCACAATTAAATTTGGATTAAAGTGACTTGCCCTTTAAAAGTGTAATAATAAGTCTCAGAAATGAAGGTCAACAAGCCTGGGGTCAACAGAAAAGGTGATGCCAGAAGATTAAAATAACTCTTTATTAAATAAATCCGAAGGGAACATTTATTGATTTTTTTTATAACTAGATTGGTTGGTAATCAAAGATGACAGTAGAGACGGTCTTGTCTTTCTTGAGTATTGATTGGAATGTTTTCTTATATCCCAACAGTGTGTTACCAGAATTACAAAGACATGGAAAAATCATTACCTAAGAGGAAGGAGTCTATGATCACCTGATATAAACTAACCCCCTGTGACTACAGAGGAGGCGGAACAATGCCAGACTCCGCCTTCTCTCCGCCAGTTCCACCAATCGCTGCTCTGAACTGTTCCCTGGACTTATCGAATTGTTCAATCACGAACCTCTCTGCGATTGCATATGGCGACGAGTGCTATGGCAGCCACTCTTTGTTTGTTATCATGGCTGTTGCCTACAGTGCTGTTGTACTGCTGGGTGTCATTGGAAACCTGGCTCTCATCCTTGTGATCGCACGCCAGCGGGAGCTTCACAATGTCACAAATGTCTTAATCGCAAACCTCTCGGTTTCAGACTTGCTGATGGCAGTGGTGTGTCTGCCCTTCACCTTCATCTACACCTTCATGGACCATTGGGTTTTCGGTGCGGTCATGTGTAAACTCAACAGCCTGGTTCAGTGCTGCTCCGTCTCAGTGTCGATATTCTCCTTGGTTCTTATCGCCATTGAGAGACACCAACTCATCCTGCACCCTCGTGGATGGAGGCCCAGCCTGAACCACGCTTGCCTGGGCATCAGCTTGACCTGGGCCCTGGCTGTCCTCACCGCTACACCTTTTCTACTGTTCTCCCGGGTGACAGACGCCCCGCTCAAGCAGCTGCCTTCAGTGTTTCAGGAGCAGTATCGGGGAAAAGTGGTGTGTGTGGAGGAGTGGCCCTCCAGAGAAATCAAACTCACCTACACCACCGGCATGCTGGTGCTGCAATACATCACGCCTCTCACATTCATCTTCATCTGTTACCTGAAGGTAAGAGCAGAGAGATGAGGGGGGGAGAAAGGTCACTTGGGTCAGGTAAACACTGCAGTTACATTCAGATGTCAATCCACTTAATCCTGACAAATCCTGTTTGGTACATACACAGCTCAGTAATTTACTGGAGTGACTCTTGTATTTTGCAACTCCTGAATAAATCAGGTCAGATCTACAAAACTCTACACATTTTCAACAGCAAGGGTGTCAAACTCTTTTAATAATGGAGCTACCACTATTACTAGAATGATGTTCATATAAGACTGTGCTGAATTTAACTTGTCATCTTACAGTATTTACATTTAAAGCTTCTTTTGAGATTGTAAAATGAAGCTTTCAATGTATGTTGTCATATTTGATAACATCATTACATCATCTAAAAATATTATGTTTTATTGTTATATAGCTTATAATTGTGTGCAAGTTACTAGACCGCCCTTAAAATGCGTACCTCATTTTGAATAGCAAGCGGGAGAGCAATGTTTTTCATGGACATTCAAAGTAGTAATACTCAGAACTACAGCAAACTATAGTTATATGGGATTTATTTCAACAAAGTTGCTAATTTGCAAAATGATGTTTGCTGTTTGTTTAAACTACTTTTTTAAAATGAGCTGAAACAACACAATTATTTAGTTTTTTGGGGGACAACTTAATTGCTTTATGTTCAATCCACTTAAATGTATAAAAATGAATTGTGTTAAAAGTGCAGAAGGTGATTGTCTTCAAAAACATTTTTGTTGTGCTGGTTGAAAGTCTCTTCACATTCCAATAGTAATGATTGAAGTAAAGGATCTATTTATATTTATTTTCATAATCTGGGTAAGGCGTAAGAATAAAATGTTCATCCAATTAAAATTTGTTGGGCAGACAATATCCATAATTCTGATAAGTAGCTCAAACCGTCTGTCAACAAATATAGATTTGTACATCTGCGCACTTGTTCACACAAATCCGCTGTTTGTGCATGCATTCATGTGCACATGAGAGAGAGAGAGTGAGTGACAGTGGCAAAAACAAATGCTGAATCAAAACTTTAAAATCCTGAATCAATGTTAGAGTTAGTTTTGCACGCTGGAGGAAGGATGACACCATGGCTGAAGTATTTCTTTTAGACAGGTAATGTTCTGCTTTAAAAGTATTTTAGTCACACAAAGCTTATGTAGATCGTGTTGTTTTATGAATGGGTTTTATGCACAGATTGTTCAGCCACTGAAATCTTCTGGCGAGTGACTGATGTGGCTATTTTCAATTTCATAATAATGATAATAATGTAGATTTTTTAAATTTAAATTTAAAGGTTCAAGAAACCCTGGAGTACTTTTTTATTTTAATAGATTTGTGTGTGTTGAGCATCAGTTAAGACGAAGTTAGAACCTGTCAGCTTTACTTGTGGGAAAACCTGGATAATTTAGATATGTTGTCAGCTAATTTCATCTTCTAGGTTTAAAATAATTTTTTGGGTGGGATCAAAATCAGTGAAATAGCGCGAATCTGCGAGTGGAGTAATAATGCAGCAGTTTCTCATTATAATTCATTGCAGAGTTTTCTTATTATATGAGAAGACCCTGCTTCTTAATTATTCATGAGAGCACGTGCTTTGTGAGGGCAAGGCTGACCTGCCAAGCTTTCAGACTCAATGACTGAGTAAGACTGCGCACGGCACAGGTCGTATGTGTCTGTTTCAATGATACATTGGGTTTGTTGCATGTTTTTTCCCACGAAGCTGTCAGGGCCAATAAAGCAAAGCTGTTGGCTTCCAGCAAGCATTTTTGTTGAGAGAGCTGTAAGAGAATTGGAGAATGACAGACTTTTAGACACATTACCTATATCCGTGCTGATGTGTTCGCCTATGTTTAAAATCATACAGATTACTAGCAGGGTTAATGGTTGGAATAGACAAGGCAAGAGATCTGCTGCACTGCTATCCACTGTGTCTGCATTTAGACCCGGGGATTGAGGAGGAGAGAAGTCCTTTCTTATTTATACGGTTTACATGATTATGTTTATAATGATATAACAAATTGTGGTTATGTGTATTGTAAATTATGAATAACAAATGTAGCAGGCCATTAAATGACATTATTTCATTGCATTTTAACTTTGTAAACTATAAAATCATGGGTCTCCTCTCGGTTTGTGTCTCATTTTGTGAGCCAACTGACATTTGGTCGCTTCCCTCTGTTTCCCTTGCTCTGCCACCCACTCCCATTCCTCCCTCTGTCCGCAGAGCTCCACACCCATCTCAGAGCATTTTTAAATAAATTCTGAGGTTGATTTGAACTAAAAGAGGAGGGTTTCATGGCCTTTTAACAACAAAACATAAGTAAATTGCGCTATTCCGCACAGCCTGCTTTACTAAGGTCAAGTTGTTTACATTTACATTGGTTCATTTTGAACAATGGCAACCTGTGACGCGCTCCCTATATTGTTTACCATACTACTTTGAATATTCAGTCTGAAATTGCTTTTAAGTATGGCTTAGTAGTAAGTGTAATTCCTGCACCCCGCCGACCAAACTAAGCATACAGTAGTGGCTATAGGACAAAGCTTTGAGAGTGAGACCTGAGAGTGCATCTTTGCATTGATGAAATATTGCACATTACGACAAGTTTTGCTTGCTACACTAATGAAAACGTGCTAGATACAATATTCTCACTGGCAAATGACATGATCTAATGGGTTGTCACTGTCATCTTTAAGGTGTGCGTTCATGATATTAGGAGGCGTGGCTTTGGACAGTAGGGGTGGGGCTGTGTTTCAAAGATATGCTAAACGGTTTGCATTTTGGCAGATCACATATGCATCTTGACCTAAACTTATTTATGTTATGTAAACACAAAGCAATTGTGTTGAACCCAGCCTTTTATACAATGTAGTTCTGGTGTTAAGGCAGAGAGTTGGATCAAAGAAAATGTCCTTCTCTCAGGCTAAATTACTTAATTTTTTAATGAAACCTTATTTTCCTCAGAATTATAAACCATGCCATGTAAAATAAAACTTACATGAAAAGGGACTGTTATTTAATTCAAGATATTTATTCAAAACTGCAGATTCATTTAGAAATGAAGCAATGACTGTCTTTATGAATGGTTTGTTGAATTATTAGCACCTTTCGCAGAGTAACTATTACAGCTAATACAGATTATAACTGGAATGAGTTTCCTGCTAAATACAAAGACACTCATAATACTAAATATGTATAAAAAATATATATACTCTGTGACATCATTAACTGAAAAAGATCTCTAAATGGCTGCTTCTGCCATTGTTTCATTTGTAAAAAGCCAGCTAATGCATACTATATAATGTTTTTTGACAAATATTCTAATTTTAGATCAGAGAATCATAAAAAGCCAAATGTATTCTGCAATGAGAAGCTCTTTTGATTGACTTGCCTGTGGAGAAATGACTAGGAATAACAAACAGTAATAAACGGTCAAACTATTTCCCCTAGAAACATGTATGTTCATGACTATACATAAAAATTATATAATAAGAAAATCCAAGTTTGCAACATCAAGGAGCATAAAGAGTTTATTTATGGCTAAAAATCAATGGAAGTGAATTAATCTTGAGTCTCAAGCCAATAAGGTTCTAGAGACACAGTGTGCATGACATGAATTTTATCATAAGAATATCATTTGCACCATAGTATACCATACACTTCTATATCATACCATACCATACTATACCATACCATACCATACCCTACCATACCATACCATACCATACAATACCATACCATACCATACCATACCATACCATACCATACCATACCATACCATACCATACCATATAATTTTGCTGTGTGTACCATTTAAATGCATTACAGCTGTGTCTGTTTTCAGTCTATGATTCAGAAATCACAGGGAAGAGATACATCTTGACAGCGACAGGACAAGCCCATAATAAATTTAAATGCAAACACTTTATCTTGGAAAGAAGCCACACACCAAAATGTCACAAACTGCACCTGCCTACTTTATCAACTTCATAAACCATTTCGTGTTATGAGCCAAGCACAAATACAATAAACAAGTGGACTTGGCAATACTTCCAGAGTGTGCCTTGCGAAGCCGGCTTCCAAAACTGAGCAAAAATATGACACCTCTTTTCAACAGTGGTTAAGCTCAAATTTGCCAAACATAATGAGTGTTTGTCGCTGTAAAATTATGCTTGTCCAAAACAGCTGATACCAAAACATGCAACATGCCAGAATGCTGCAATGGTTGCCATTGTATAAATCATTGCATTGTTGAAGCTTCTATTTCAAAAAGATGGATGTTATAATGCATGGCCTTTTTGGTTTGTATGTTTTAATAGATAATAATATATTTATTTACAAGGATGCATTAATAATGCAAAATTATTTTCTTTTACTTTGATATTAATTGTATATTTAAATAAATGGTTCTTTTATTTGAACTATTATATAAACCTGAATAGGGTGTTAAATAGTCTTAAATTTCAAAAACTAAATTTTACGGCTTAAAAAGTCTTTAGTTCACTGAAATAATGCGTTGTAGGTCTTAAATAATTTTAAACTGGTCTTAAATTTACTATGTCCAGGTAAATATACCCTATCAGACTGACATCCAATTACCTATAATCCATCTCAAAACACTTTTTATGTTTAACTTTTTTTTTTTGATAAAGGGTTAAACTTTCCCACAGTTATATTATTTCAAAGACTTTCAACTTTATGCAGAAAACAATAGGATATGTATTAAAGAACACTGTTTACCAGTTGGGCAGCACAGTAGCTAAGTGGTTAGCACTGTTGTCTCAGAGCAAGAAGGTCGCTGACTTGAGTCCCAGCTTGTGGTGGGTTTCCCAAACAATGACATAACTCATGTCTGAACTATGAATGAATGATGTAGTGATGATGTAGTGACGACTTAAAATTTCTATATTAACTGAAATATATGTAAACGGCACATATAGAGCCTGTTTCCTTTACAAATATTATTGACAACATTAAAAATTCTATTCTA